GTAAGTGGGACATGATTTGGGATATGAATGCAGGCTGTCTGGCACTTCTAATCATTATGCTTTCCCACTAAGTAGTGAGCTAAATGCTGAGGTATGAGCAGAATATCGTTTCTCTTCTTAAGAAGCTATATGAGCAGAGGGCAGACATTATGTGCCCATAATCCCTAAAGAGGAGCTGAGCGGAGGTCCGTAATTATATCACCAATAGAAATTATGTGGCGGAGTATCCGGAGAGGCTCTAGTGGGAGAAATGGTTTACTTAGGGAACACCCCCACTATCATTTGTGGGGTGAAAGCTGTATTGTGTCCATGCTAAGGTGGAGTTGACTAAGATGTTGAAAAAGGGCTGGTTTTCTGCTTAGATTGTATTTCAAAAATGTATTTAAAAATAAGCTAAGGCTTCCCTCTCTAAGGATGGTCTATGGACCTGCATCAGCACATCTTGTTAGAAACTCAGGAACTTGTTAGAAACGCACAATCTCAAGCCTACCTCAGAGCTACTGAATCAGAATCTGCACTTTACAACAACGCTAAAAGATGTCTATGCACAGTAAAATTTGAGAAGCACCCAGCTAAAGCAAAAATACAAAACCAGCAGCTGGATCCATCAGGATCATCTCATGGGAACCTGGTTGTCCTTTGCTGCTGACATAGTTTAGCCTTATCTAGACGCTGGTATGTTTGAGGTGCTCAGCCTGGTAAAGCAGCTTACAATGAAGAAGAGCCTACCCCCCAAGGAAGGACAGAAATGCTGCACCAGCACGGGCTCAGACCATCTCCTCCAATGAAAAGTCCCTGGCCATATAACCTTCAATGAATTTAACACCGTAACACAAAGTTAAGGGGAATGAATTGGGAAAGGTTCCAAAAAGGAAAGAATTTTAGACCGGGTTTGATGAATGATTGACCTTCAGATTAATTAGAATTTCTGTGTAGAATGACAGAATATGGGGCTATGCAAATAGGGAGGGGCTAGGTCGTAAATTACTTCATAAACTGTGGTAAGGAGTTTGGACTTTACCTTTTATTTTTTTTAAAAGATTTTATTTATTTATTTGAGAGAGAGTGAGAGAGAGCATGAGAGGGGAGAAGGTCAGAAGGAGAAGCAGACTCCCTGTGGAGCTGAGAACCCAATGCGGGACTCTGATCCTGGGATTCCAGGATCATGACCTGAGCCAAAGGCAGTTGCTTAACCAAGTGACCAGGCACCCTGGCCTTTACCTTTTAAAACCAAGGGTGTCACTGTGCAATATTGAGATTTGTAAGAAATACCTATTTGGTCATTCAGATGACCAAACACATTTCTCATATATATTGGGTCTTTGTTCACAATTCCTGGTTCATGGATCCCAAACCCTCAGAATTCGGTAGCAAGATTGGTTGCCAATGGAGGCAACGAGGTGTTTAGAGGGTTGGAAGTTGCAGTCCCCACCCCCTGACGTCTGGGAGACCAGGGTAGCTGGAAGTTGAATCAATCACCAATGGCCATGATTTTTTTTTTAAAGATTTTATTTATTTATTTATTTATTTATTTGACAGAGATCACAAGTAGGCAGAGAGGCAGGCAGAGAGAGGGAGAAGCAGGCTCCCTGCTGAGCAGAGAGCCGGATGTGGGGCTTGATCCTGGGACCTGAGATCAGGTCCGAAGGCAGAGGCTTTAACCCACTGAGCCACCCAGGTGCCCCTACCAATGGCCATGATTTAATCAATCATGCCTATGTCATGGAGCCTCCATAAAAACTCGAAAGGATGGAATTCAGAGAGCCTCCAAGTTGAGGAACAATGGAGATTTGGGGAGACTGGTGTGCATAAAGAGGGCATGGAAGCTCTGTGTCCTTTGCCCATGCCTTGCCCTATACATCTCTAATACCTGCCTGATCCTGAATTATATCCTTTTGTAATAAACCAAAAAATCTAGTAACACATTTCTATGAGCTGTTCTAGCAAATCAATTGAACCTGACAAGGGGGATCGTAGGACAACTCTGATTTCTAGTCAGTCAGTCAGAAGCATAGGTGACAGCCAGAACTTGTGACTGGCATCTAGAGCAGAAAGCAGTCTTCGAGGACCAAACCCTTAACCTGTGTAACCTGTGTAATCTATCTCTGGGTAGATAGTGTCAGATCTGAGTTGAATTCTTACTCTGTTGGTGTCTGAAGAATGACTAGGTGCTGCGTAGGATTTCCCCTCCCCACAACACACATAATGGAATTGATGCCAGAACGAAAAGACCCAGGGCATATCACCTGGGGTTTTTTGAGGGTTGGAAGTAGTTAACCTGCATTGCTTTGGGGGAAATTATACATACTCCTGGGAAGAAGGTAAAACTAAGAACAGGGGATGCCTGGGTGGCTCAGTCGTTAAGCGTCTGCCTTCGCCTCAGGTCATGATCCCAGGGTCATGGGATAGAGCCCCAGAGCCCCATATTGGACTCCCTGCTCAGCAGGAAGACTGATTTCCCTCTCCCACTTCCCCTCATGTGTTCCTGCTCTTGCTATCTCTCTTTTTGTCAAATAAATAAATAAAATCTTTTAAAAAAATAAAAATAAATAAAATTAAGAACAGTAAAACTCCTAAAATCTCATTACCTGGAAATAACCACTGACAGTTTCTGACACCCTTCCAGTCTTCTTCATGCATGTATACACATATAATTTTATTTTTTCACTCAGTGATGTAATAGACACAGTTAATACATCTATATCATTTTAATGGCCACAATATATTCTATTGTGTTCTGATGTTTTATATATCAGTCTGAGTCCAATCAAAAAACAGGAACACACAGTCATTTAAATAGGAGACTAAATATAAAGAATTAAGCTGTGATGGGAGAGAAACTTTATAAAGAGCGAAAAACAAAAGAATGAGATCTTGCCATTTGCAAAAACATGGATGGACCTAGGGCATCACACTAAATGAAGTAAGTCAGAGAAAGACAAATACCATATGATTTGACTTATATGTGGACTTTAAAAAAAAATGAATAAACAGACAAAAAGCAGGGACAGACCTATAATACAGAGGGAAAAAAATCAATGGTTGTGAGAGGGGAGGAAGAGAGGAGGGGGAACATGGGTGAAGGGGAGTGGAAGGTACAGCCTTCCTGTTATGGAATGAATAAGTCGCAGGGATAAAAGGTAGAGCATAGGAATATAGTCAATGCTACTGTAATAGTGTATGGTGACAGATGGGAGCTGTGTTTGTGGTGAGCCTTGCGTAATGTATAGACTTGTTGAGTCACTATGTTATACACCAGAAATTAATGTAATATTTTCAGCTGTACTTCAATTAAAAAAAGAAGAAAGGAAAGGATTCTAAAAAGGGTACTTTAGGGGGTGCCAGGGCCGGGGCCGTTCAGTCGGTTAAGCATCTGCCTTTGCCTCAGGCCATGATCCCAGGGTCATGGAATCAAGCCCTGCATCGGCCTCCCTGCTCAGCAGGCAGCCTGCTTCTCCCTCTGCCTTTGCCCCTCCCCCTCATTCTCTCTCTCTCTCTAATAAATAAATAAAATCAAAGAGGGAGGTACTATTATTTCCTTTCCACGCGTAAAGAAACTACTAAGGCACAGGTAAGCCAAATAACTTGCTCAAGGTCAACTATAGTATAATGCCAAGATAGACTAAGATATATGTGGTAACCAGTAATTCCTAAATCTCGGCTGTTTAATACAACAAAGGTTTATTTCTCACTCACACTGAAAGCCCAATAAGGGCCAGGGCAGAACACTTGTTCTTCGTGGTTACTCAGGGCCCAGACTCATGGAATCTCCATCTCAGCTTGTGTTTCTGTGGAGCCTGAGGTGGGGAAAGTATATGTGATGAATCTTTCATTGACTTCCTTTTTTAATTTTTTATTTTAATTCCAGTTAACATACAGTGTTATATTAGCTTCAGGAGTACAATGTAGCAATTCAACAACCGCCTAGAGCTTATCATGACAGGTGTACTAAATCCCATTCACCTATTTAACACATCTCCCCCCTTCGCCTCTGTTATCCACCAGATTGTTCCATACTATTAAGAGTCTGTTTCTTGATTTCACTCACTCTCTCATTTTTTTCCCTTTGCTTGTTTGTTTTGTTTTTTAAACTCCACATATGAGTGAAATCATTTGGTATTTGTCTTTCTCTGCCTGGCTTATTTTGCTTAACATTATACTTACTAGTTCCATCCGTGTCATTGCAAATGACAAGATTTTATTCTTCTTTACAGCTGAATCATATTCCATTTATATATATATATATATAGAGAGAGAGAGAGTGCGTAAGTGCACACACACACACACACACGCACACACATCACATCTTATCTATTCATCAGTTGAGGGACACTTGGGCTGCTTCCATTCCTTGGCTATTGTAAATAATGCTGCTATAAACATAGGTGTGCATGTATCTCTCCAAATTTGTGTTCTTGTAATTTTTGGGTAAATACACAGTAACAATTGTAAGGTAGCTCTATTTGTAGCTTTGAGGAAGGTCCATACTGTTTTCCCCAGTGCCTGAACCAGTTTGCATTCCCACCCACAATTCACAAGGGTTCCTTTTTCTCCACAGCCTCACCAACACCTGTTGTTTCTTGTGTTGTTGATTATGGCCATTCTGACAGGTGTGAGGTGGTATCTCACTGTAGTTTTTTTTTTTTTCAAGATTTTTATTTATTTATTTGACAGACAGATCACAAGTAGGCAGAGAGGCAGGCAGAGAGAGAGAGGTGGAAACAGGCTCCCTGCTGAGCGGAGAGCCTGATGTGGGGCTCTATCCCAGGACCCTGGGATCATGACCTGAGCCAAAGGCAGAGGCTTTAACCCACTGAGCCACCCAGGCGCCCCTCACTGTAGTTTTGATCTGCATTTCCCCTATGTTAAGTGATGTTGAATATCTTTTCTTGTTTACTGGTCATCTGGATGTCTTTTTTGGAGAAATGTCTGTTCATGTCCTCTGCCCATTTTTAAATTGGATTATTTGGTTTTTGGGTGTTGAGTTTTATAAATTCTTTAAAAATATGGAATGATTCACAAATTTGTGTGTCATCCTTGTGCAGGAACCATGCTAATTTTCTCTGTATTGTTTTAATTTTAGTATATGTGCTGCTGAGGCGAGCACAATCTCTTACTGACTTCTAAAGCTTCTGCTTGCTCCTCACTTCTACTTACATTTCTTCAACTAAGACAAGTCATCAGGCCATACCTATCTTCGAAGGGGTTAAGGAAGCACGGTCCCATGTATTTGGGAGAGGAGAATGAGGCTATTTATAAATTAGCATCATGGAAACCACACGGGGCAGGCCAACCCAGACAAATTAAGCTTATCGTCTCAACATGTATTCTGAAATACAGGTAGGTGGTGCATACTGAAGAATTAACTTTACCCAAAGGAGGGTCTGGTTTTTCTTTCAGCTAGTGGAAGTTCTCTTTAGGCCCCTGGAATATCCTGTCTTGATCAAACCCCACATTTCCTCTTCAGTTTTTTCCACCATCTCCTCCACCTTTTCCCATGGTCCTAAGGTCTTGTGTTCCCCAAATACCACGGGCTCCTTCATGCCTCAGCAAGCTCACTCACACTACTTCCTCTGCCTAACCTGCCTTCCCTGAGAGTCCCACGGAAGCCGTTCAGCATTGAAGATTTAGCTTGAAACGCCTTTCCATCAAAGTCATTCTTTTCCCTGCCAGAAAGTATTGGTCATTGCTTTTTCTGTGTTTGTATAATACTTTTTACCACCATGTGTTAGAGACTTTCTGTTTGGTTATGTAACCAAAGTAAGCACACCTAACAATGATGCAGGGTGGGAAGGTGCTATAATTGGTCCCTAAAGATGGACCTCAATGCACTACCCTTCCATGCTACTTGTGTACTTGTGCAATCCTCGCCTTCATTAAATCTGGACTGGCTGTGACTCTGCTGACTAATAGAATGCAGTGGAGATCATGCTGGGTCAGTTCTGGGCCCAGCCTTCAGAAGGAACGGCAGCTTCCATTGCCTTCTGGAACCTACCTGCCATGTTGTGAGGAAGCCCAAGCAGCCATGTGGAAAGCCCAAATAGAGAGGAGAAGCCCAACACTATTTGTGGGAAGGAGAAAGACTCAGCTATCTCTGCATCACTGGCAAGCTTCCAGATGACTATAACCAAGAAACACCAAAAGGACCAGCAGAATTGCCCAGTTGAGTTAGGTTAACCCACAGAATCATAAGGTTAAATAATATGGCTGTTGTTTGAAGTCACTGAGGTTTGGGTTTGAAGGTGATTAGACTGTGAGGTCTAGAACACAAAGCATTAAATATCCTGGATATTTCCATAGCATAAAGAAAAAATATATGAGGAAGGCAAACAGACATTCTGAGTAGGAAGTGTGGTTTCTGTAACACGAAGGACAATTCAGCTTATCAAATGCCCAGTGAAAAGTGCATCTCTTCTGACTGTTTCCCCTGGCCAACTAAATTTTTCAAGAGCCCCATGCTATAAGTAGCTTTAGTCCTTTAGATAAAAATTCAAATTATTAAAAAAAAAAAGAAGACAAAAGACAGTGTCTACGTGGTGAAGCTAGGAAGGTAAAACTAAATGAAGAAATAAAATATTCAGTATTTTTTTTTAGATTTTATTCATTTATTTGAGAGAGTGAGCAAGAGAGAGAGAGAAACACAAGCAGGGGGGATGGGCAAAGGGTGAGGGTGAAGCAGACTCTACTGAGCAGGACCCTGAGATCATGACCTGAGTAAAAGGCAGACACTTGACTTACCGAGCCACCCAAGTGCCACTCAGTATTTTCTTTAAAAAAAAAAAAAAGTTTGATAATGGGGCGCCTGGATGGCTCAGTCAGTTAGGCATCTGACTCTTGATTTCGGTTCAGGTCATGATCTCAGAGTTGTGGGATTGAGCCCCACTGTGAGCTCCTCACTGGGCATGAGGCTGCTTGGGATTCCCTCTCATCCTCTCTCTATGCCCCTTGCCAGCTTTACTCTCTCTCTAAAAAAACAAAAAATAAAATAAAGAAAAATAAAAATAAACACATGCACCCTAATGTTTATAGCAGCAATGTCCACAATAGCCAAACTATGGAAAGAGTCTAGATGTCCATCTGCAGATGAATGGAAAAAGAAGATGTGGTGTATACACACACACACACACACACACACACACACAGAAGAATATTATGCAGCCATCAAAAAATGAAATTTTGCCATTTGCTAAGTTAAATAAGTCAATCAGAGAAAGACAATTATCACATGATCTCACTGATATATAGAATTTGAAAACAAAGCATAGGATCATGGGGGAAGAGAGGAAAAGTGAAACAGGATGAAACCAGAGAGGAAGACAAACCATAAGAGGCTCTTAATCTCAGGAAACTGAAGGTTGCTGGAGTGGAGAGGGGTGGGAAAGATGGGTGGCTGGGTGATGGACAGGGTATATGCTATGGTGAGTTCTGTGTATTGTGTAAGACTGATGAATCACAGAACTGTACTCCCAAAACAAATAATACATTATATGTTAATTAAAAAATTAAAAATATATATTTGATATTACTAAGGCAACAGAGACAAAGTAGGTTTTACTATTTATTAGAAATGTTATTTTAAATAAAAGCAACCACATAAATCCAAGACAACAGTCATCAGTCTTGGGGGAAAGTGTAGCTTTGGTGGCTCTCTATGGATCATTTGGGCATGAAGTAGTTCCTCTTCTGTACTTTTAAGAATGACAGAGAGAATTTTCTCTCCTGCCCCAGGACCTCTGCTTGGAGGGAATATGGCTCACTTCCTAAATTCTTTTGTGTCCTGCTCAGATGTCTCCTTATCAGAAAGACCTTCGCCGGCCAGCCCATGTAAGCTCCATTTCTTCCTCCATAGCATTGTCCATAGTGTATATTGATTTGTTTGTTGTATGTCTCCCTCCACTAGAGTGTGAGCTCTGAGAACACAGATTTTGTTTTGTTCACTGCCGTATCCTCAGTGCTGAAAAAAGTGATTGGCATGTACTTGGCACTCAATAAATATTTGTTGAATGAATGGGTGTAGAATGTCTAAAAACTCTGCTTGTAGCTAAATAGAACTGCTAAGCAATGCAGTGTATTCGATTCTTTGGCTTCGCATCACAGATAATTTCACCATTATAGTAAGTTTTTTTTAAGTGGCTGGGTTTCCTAAATCATTATGTAATTACCCTCTTAAGGCTGAGTGAGCATTTAAAAGTGCAGTCTCTAAACTGTCTTGCCTATATGACCTCTGCTATTAACATTATCATTTAGCAAACATTGTGATGGGACATACCAGTAAAACGTGTCCTAGGAGAAACCAGGCTGCAGTAAGCACCATAGGGTAAAAGGGAAGTGGAGGGGACTTTGTGCCAGTTCCAACCCAACCAATGTCAGCCAGATGGCCTCAGTAAAGCCACTTAACCTCTTTGAGACTCTTTTCTTCACCTGTGAAATGCAGGTACCCTGCCAAGTCTACCTAACTTATCGTGAGGGGCAAATAAGAAAATATGTAGAAGTGCTTTGAACACCTGAAAAGCATCATGAAAACATAAGGTGTTATAACTATGCCAAAGTAATAACCATCATCAACTTTTTTTTTTTTTAAGTAGGCTCCATGGGGTGCCTGGGTGGCTCAGTGGGTTAAAGCCTTTGCCTTCAGCTCAGGTCATGATCCCTGGGTCCTGGAATCGAGCCCCACATCGAGCCCCACATCGGGCTCTCTGCTCAGCAGGGAGCCTGCTTCCTCCTCTCTCTCTCTCTGCCTGCCTCTCTGCCTACTTGTGATCTGTGTGTGTCAAATAAATAAATAAAATCTTTATAAATAAATAAATAAATAAATAAATAAATAAAAGTAGGCTTCATGGCCAGTGTAAAGTCTGATACAGAGCTTGAACTCACGACCAGGGGATGAAGACCTGAGCTGGAATCAAGAGTCAGATACTTAACTGACTGAGCCCCCCAAGCACTCCTCAGTCATCAACTTTTAATAAAAGCACCTAGTGTAACTGGGGGACTGTGCTAGAGCTGCAGGAGAAGTCTATATCTAAGCTCACAGGCTTTCCGTTTAGTTAGAGGGATGGGTGATAGCATGCACCTTGAAAATTTGCTCATCTGACTAATAATGCATTCATCTCCAAAATATGTCTCAGATACAAATGTAACCTTTAAAATCTTTGCTGATTCACATTGTATCTTGACATGTTAATTTATATCAAGGGTGGCTAATTGAGCCGTAAGCCCCTTATCAGTTTGAGGTCAACCCTGTGTGTGTGTGTGTGTGTGTGTGTGTGTGTGTGTGTGTGTGTGTGTTCTTTTGAGCTTTATTCTTCTGTTCATATTGATTTTTTTTTAAATTATGTAAGTAATAGAGGTGCCTGGGTGGCTCAGTGGCTCATCTGGGTCCATACTCAGTGGGGTGTTTGCTTGTGGATTCTCTCTCTTTCCCACTTTCTCAGCCCTTCCTCCTGGTCATGCTCTCTCTCTGAAATAAATAAATAAAATCTTTTTAAAAATTATATAAGTAGTGCATGAATATTTCCACTGGAGAAGAAATGCAATATAGAAATGCTCCAAGAAGAAAAAAGTATCCTTTCATTCCTTCACCCATCATATTGTGTTTATTTACCTATTTATTTAGTTAGTTTTTAAAAATATTTTAATTAATTAATTAATTGTTTGTTTGTTTATTTGAGGGGATGGAGCTTGAGTAGGAGGAGTGGCAGAGGGAGAGAATCTCAAGCACACTCTGTGCTGAGCACAGAACCCAATGCTGGCTTGATCCCATGACCCTTAGCTTACTGAGCCACACAAGTGCTCCATATTGGGTTTCTTTTAAAACACACTTTAGGGATTCCTGGATGGCTCAGTCAGTTGAGTGTCTGCCCTCAGCTCAGGTCGTGATCCCAGAATCCTGGGATCAAGTCCCACATCATGCTTCCTGCTTAAGTGGGGAGCATGCTTCTCCCTCTCTCTCTGCCTGACTCTCTGCCTATTTGTGCTCTCTCTCTGACAAATAAACAACTAATAATAATAAAATAAAACACTTTAAATGAATATCAATAAGGGGAAAATAACCATTGAGACAAGAAAAAGACAAAATCATACAAGATTTCTATACAAATGGTTAAAACA